TCCAGAAAGCTGACGTCACGGCGAAGTCAACGGCGTTGACCGGTCAGAAAACGAAGGAGTCACGCGCTCTCACATGCGTATGCAAGCTCCAGCGACTGCTTCCTTCTGGCGGCGCGTGGCGGCGCGTGCGGTGGAGTCCGGCGGCGATCTCGACGGCGATCTCTTCGTCTCGTTGTCCTGGTCGTCGTGGTATGGTCACTTGCTGGTTTTGGTCTCCGGTTTGAATGTATGATTGGAATCTCTATATACCTTAAGATCTTCTACTGTATTCTCAAACAGCTTTCTAGATCTTGTATCAGTGGAGCACAAGAAATAGAAGAACTCCTTGGAAAGAGAGAGAGAGAGAGAGAGGCGGCGTGATTCCCAAGGATGTGGGATTGTGTTCTCTTCTTCCATTAGCCTAATGCTGTATATATAGAGCTACAGTAGGGACCCTAAGGAGAATAGGATCAGGGCTTCTAATATATTAATACTGTGGAGCAACCCCACAATTAATATATTAATAATATTAAAGTCCACCACAATAATATTATTGCACTCCCCTCACCTATCCCAAATTACATCTGAGACTCATTATAATTATCCGATTTACCTCTCCATGTTTAAGATATAATGTCCATTAATTAATTCGATCACTAATAATCAAGAATTAATTAATATAATATATTACCGAAGCTAGCGCTCGCTCATAGCATTCATATTATGCCGGAATAAATCCACCTGCAGGGTTTAGCATAATATTCTTTCATGAACTCACTTCGGGGACATCATCATACTAACGCACATGGTGACCGTAAATATCCTAATAGCACATCGGACACACAATGTCATTACCCAATTCATTAAGTATGTCGACCCAGCTTGGATCTCACCCAAAGAATCAAAGCAACAACAATTATGTGCACATGCCTATTTAATATCTTACGGGTTAAGAGCACGCAATAATTAACTGAGGCCTAGTTCGTTTACGACGATTAGTATAAAATGAACATCCCTCTCTGGGATCCTGTTCAATACATAAATGTACTAGTGCAACTAAGACAAACCGTACGGTTGACACTACAACCGTTCCGATGGGTTGTTCAATTCCATCTAGGTTGTGAACCAATGATTCTTGTTTCGCAAGTAACTGATATAGTGATCTTCGGTACGCCCGATGACGACCCACTTATCTACATGAAAAACAACAGAACGTGGAACTTATTTAACCAAACATAATTCTCATTCATCAAGGAATAACAAGTGTAATATCCACTAAAGCAAAGCTTAAGTATATAACACCAACAGCGAGCACGCGCCGGGTACGACGAGCGGGCGCGCGAGGGGTGCAAAGGGCGACGCGTGGTGAGCCGACGCACATGATGACTCGGACCACGGGATTAGCACATGTCAGCGTGCCGCCTAGGGCAGGGATGCGGATGGAGTGCGACACAAGTAAGGCCGAGTTCCTTAGCATATTTGGACTATTAGTTATGGTAGGATTTGGAATAAAGGCATGTGCCTATTTAGTTATTTAGTAAGAGTAGGATTCTAGATGTTTGCTTTCCAAGAGTTAGGATTCTAGTTAGCATAGGAGTAGATCTATTTAGCCTCTATAAATACCAGGCATTGTCATTCAATTTTTAATATCGAAGAAACTAATTGAAAAATCGAACGTTTGTTCACTTATCTCGTGTGTTTATTCCTTTGAGTTACATACCTAATTGTGTTAGAAATTTTCTTGGAACAACATCCGAGTTTCGATACATTTCGTGCAGTAAGAAGGCGTCGGCGCGCGTATTAGCAATTATCGCTTGCAGACCAAGTTGTCGGCGCGGGTTTCACGGCAAATCGAGTTGAGCGGATACACGATCTTCATCATTGGTGCTTTCATTGAGAGTAAATGATCATGTATCTTGTTTAAACTTTCCCTTTCTTATTTCAATTTTTTTGTTCTTTGAATTTTTCTTTTCGTGAGTTTTAGATTCAAAAAAAAAAAAGATGAGAAATACGCATAAAGAGAGGATCGAGCAGTTGGAGAGCGGGTTGAATCCCTTGATTGAAGATGTGCAATACTTGAAAGCCGACATGGCCGTGAAAGATTCTCAACACGCCACATACAACCAATTTGCGAAGCTCGAGCAATAACTATTCGGGTCAATTCAATCCTTAGCCACCGAATTTGCAAAGCTTCGATGGCGTGGTCGAAGACCATCGAGAGAGCCCACACCCGGGTCATCCACGGGAGAGTCCGCACCTTCGGAAGAGGAGGACAGCGCGTATGAAGAAGAGGCGTACCGCTGGTCGCGGGGATCTAGAGGTCCACGTCGCCATGAGGAACGGAGGTTCAAAAACCGAAGATTGTTTTTTCCACGTTCAAAGGAGAGGATCCAGACGCATGGTTGATTCTAGCTACTCAATATTTCAACCTTAACGAGATTCCAAAGGCTGAACGTGTTAAGTACGCCGAAAATACGTGGTGGCAATGGATGTCCCATGCGAAAAAAGACAAATGATTGAAGTGGAGGGAGTTCGAAAAAGGGATGATCAAGAGGTTTTGGGTCGTCCGAATATTATGATTTTGATGAGGCCTTGACGCAAATTAGGTAAACAGGTAGCCTAAGGGACTACCAAAGGGAGTTCGAACGCTTAGCATGCCATGTACGCGATTGGCCGGAGCGAGCGCTCATAGGCACGTTCATTTTAGGCCTTAAGCTGGATCTTGCTGCTGAGGTTAGGTTCGAGAAGTCAAGGAGCATACAGGAAACAATAGAGGCCGCACGCATACGCGACGACCACTTGGCCGTGGTGCGCAAGGTGGGCCGATCAAACACGTGCGACGGCGAAACGCGGGCAGAGATACGCGCGGAACCAGCACGCATGGAGCCGCGGACGTACTTGGAGACCATGCCCAAGGCTGGGAGTTCAACGACGATTGGTCTGGAAAGGATGTCCGAGGAGGAGAGGCAGTGTCGGTTAAGCAAGGGGCTATGTTTGTGCTGCAACGAAAAATTTACGCCTGGTCATCGATGCAAGCAACAATTGTACGCCATTGAAGATGACGAGGAGGAACCCGAGGAGGATGAAACAAGGCACTATGTCAAGGAGGACTTGAAAATATCGGTTAATGCGATATCAGGAGTGCATGGGCCGAGAACCATTAGGTTGCCCGCCTTAGTCCGAGGGCGATCTATCGAGCTGCTAGTTGATATCGGGTCGTCCCACAACTTTATTAGCGCCATATTATCGGATGCGTTGAAATTAACAACAACAAAGGTGGATCTATTTTACGTAAGAGTTGCCAACGGGGAAAGACTACGATTCCGTGAGTATTACCGAGACGTGCCGATCAATCTTCAAGGCGAGACCATCATTGCCGACCTCTATTCATTGTCGTTGGTGGGGCCTGACAATGTTCTTGGAGTACAATGGCTAGAAGGACTTGGGGAAGTCAAAACAAATTATAAGGAGGGGATAATGGAATTTTATTCGGATAATAAGTTGATCATGTTGAAAACCAAACCGAGGGGAGCGGTTGAAGGTGCGGAGTGAAGGAGTTTAGAGCTAGTAGATGAAGATAGAAAGCACAAAATGAGAATTCCAATCCTTGAGGACAAGGATGTGCTTAAAAGGGGCAGGAATGATGAAGACGTGGTCTTCGACCCTTCCAAGCCCGAGGACGCGGCGACCGGTGACCAAGTGAAATGGCGCAAGAAACCACGGGTTCATGCGAAAAGGATCCGAGGTCGCGTGAAATGGCGCACGCGTGACGATCGCGCGAAGAGTATGCCGACGATACACATTAGACGGGTAATGAGGCGTGCGGGACGAGGACGCATAAGGACGTGTAACAGAGACTCGCAAGGCAAAGGGATCACGCAGCCGGATGCATAAGGGAGACGCCGAGTGCACGACGAGTGGATCAAACGGAGCGCGCGACAGGACGACGGGTGGAGAGCACGCGCACAGGATGGCCAGGGAGGAGTGAGCAAGCGAGTGGAGGTTCGCGTGCCGAACACTCGCGAACATGGCAAACACGCGCCGGGTACGACGAGCGAGCGCGCGAGGGGTGCAAAGGGCGACGCGTGGGGAGCCAACGCGCACGATGCCTCGGACCACGGGGATTAGCGCGCGACAGTGCGCTGCCTAGGACAGGGATGCGGACGGAGTGCGACGCAAGCAAGGCCGAGTTCCTTAGCATATTTGGGCTATTGGTTATGGTAGGATTTAGAATAAAGGCATGTGCCTATTTAGTTATTTGGTAAGAGTATGATTCTAGATATTTAGTTACCTTAGGAGTTTATTTTCTTTCCAAGAGTTAGGATTCTATAGCATAGGATTAGATCTATTTAGCCTCTATAAATGCTAGGCATTGTCATTCAATTTTTAATATCGAAGAAATTAATAGATAAATCAAACGTTTGTTCACTTGTCTTGTGTGTTTATTCCTGTGAGTTTAGATACTTGATCGTGTTAGAAATAGGACCAATATCCGAGTTTCGGCACATTATCCCGAAGTACGAAGGCGTCGGCGCACGTATTAGCAACTATCGCTTGGAGACCAAGGCGTCGGCGTGGGTTTCACGACAAATTGAGTTGAGCGGATACACGATCTTCATCACGGCGCTAAGGCGCGCGACGTGCGGCTGCTTTTCTCTGACGCCCTCTAGTATGGGAAGCGACATTATGTGGGCGCGCTAGCGGCGCTAGGCGACTGGTAGCGGCGCTAGCTAGCGCCCGACAGCTGGTGGTCGGCTTACACGGTTTAACTTCTCGGGCTCGTTTGAGCTTGTCCGAACTTGGAATTGAGTTCCATTTTTTTGTGACGCCAACGCACTCTTCTATCTAATTATTCTTGCCCGGCCGATATTTTTCTGAAATCCGAACCTGCCGAAGCTTCCATCCTGCACACCAAAAACGAGAACAAAAGTGGAAAAAATCGGAAAACGGAAGAAACATATGGAAAACTCAAACGAAAGGTGAACATGCAATAAACGACAAAAACAACTAAAAAACTAAAGGAACGACCTGAAACGGGGGAAAAATAAAGGCAAAATAACACAGAAAAATACAACAAAAATGGGACAAACAATCAGCAAACCCTAGCCAAAGCCACAAGCCCTACCCCTATTCCTAACCCAAACCGCCACTAGGAAATACAACACTTAGCTCTGAGATAATTAGGGGAGAATCAAAGAAAAACACAGAAAAACAAGGAAGTCGACAGATAATACCTAAACAAGCAAAGATCTGGCAGATCCATAAATGGCAATAAAATTAGAAAGATAAACACCCTGACAACGCTAAACATAATACAAGCACACCAAAGATGCTAAAAGAAGAACTAACAAGAACAAACAAAGAAACACCAGTCACACAAGGGATGAAAGCGAACGAACAATTTCCAACTAGTGGAACAGATAAGAGGGAAAAACTTCCAAAAAGGAAACAAGATTTTTTTGAGGTAGCCTATGTGAATACTTGCAATATGCAACCATATGTGAAGACTACTTGTAGCAATGT